ACCACTAGCGTCGGTGTGGATCTCTGTCGGTGCCGATGGGTCGCAGTGTCGCAGAATAGGCGGTGACGTGAGGAGGCAGCGCAGTTCATTGAAAGAATCGTCACAGGTGGCAGACCAGGCCGAAAGGTCTCTAGGGCCGGTGAGGAGCTTGGTCAAAGGAGCGATGATCGTCGTGAAATTGCGTACGAAGCGCCGGAAGTAAGAGCAAAGGCTTATGAAGCTTCGGAGCTCTTTCATGGTGGTCGGTTTGGGAAACGCTGAAACGGCTGTAAGTTTGGCAGGGTCAGGAAGTATGCCGTCTTTTGAAATCACGTGGCCAAGGATCGTAAGCTTTCGAGCGGCGAAATGGCACTTCTTCAGATTCAGTTGCAGCCCCGCGGCAGAAACACACGCGAGGACTTTCTCGAGGCGGGTTCAATGGGTTACGAAATCAGTTGAAAAGACGACAATGTCATCCAAATAACAAAGACAAACGTTGCATTTGAGGCCTCGAAGGATACAGTCCATCATACGCTCGAAAGTAGCTGGCGCGTTGCAGAGGCCGAAGGGCATGACTGTGAATTCGTAAAGCCCATCGGGCGTGATAAAAGCTGTTTTTTCGCGATCGGCCTCTGACATGAGTACCTGCCAGTATCCAGAGCGCAGATCTAAAGAAGAGAAAAATTCGGCTCCCTGTAGGCAGTAAAAGGCTTCGTCAATGCGTGGCAGCGGATAGACATCCTTGCGCGTGATTCGGTTGAGACGTCGGTAGTCCGCGCAAAACCTGATGGATCCGTCCTTCTTCTTCAGCAACACAACTGGAGAGCTCCAGGGACTGCTTGACGGTTCGATTATTCCACGTGTCAGCATGTCGTCAACCTGTTCATTGATGGCATGGCGTTCGGTAGTTGACACACGATATGGACGGTGCCATAATGGCGCCTCTTGACCGGTATGTATAAGGTGAACAACAAATGACGGTCGACCTAAGGAAGGCTGATTGTGGTCAAACGAGGCTCGAAAACGCTGTAGGAGCTTGATCAGCTGTTCCTGCTGCCCAGGCGTGAGGTCGCAATCAACGGACTTGCGGTTACATCCATAGGTTCATTAGCGTCAGTTGCGGGTGTAATGGCACAAGTCGGTAAGAATGGCTTGTCTGGATAGATCGGGTCTTCGAAAATACAATTTAAGGTCTCGAGGCTTTCCAGACACTCGCCGCGTAGCAGGATGTACGGACAAGCAGAAACGTTACACGCATAAAGTACCGCAGAACCATTGAAAAGTTGATGCCGGCAAACGGGAGGACGATGGTTTGGTGTTGCACACTAGCTATAGTTGGTTGGAACAGGAGCGTCGAGTTAGTCGCAGCAGGGGAAAACACAGGCACTAGGACGGCGGACAACGGCGCGATGCGGACGTCAGCTGCGGCAAACACTTTCGAAGGACTGTGGTGGTCGATATCAAGGCACGGATTCGTCAACGTGAGTTCAGCACGAGCGCAGTCGACGAGGGCCTGATGGGTAGAAAGGAAATCCCATCCTAGTATGACGTCGTAAGATGAAGTGGGAGAACAACAAAGTTGATGGCCTACCGAACATCTTGAATAAGAAGGCATGCTGTGCACTGAGCTGTCGGTGCGATGAAATGGGAGGTGGCTGTACGCAGAGCAAGATTCGTAAGCGGCGTTGTAACTTTTCTCAAATCGCGACACAGTTTTTCACTAATTACAGAAACGACGGCGCCTGTGTCAACAAGTGCATGTACAGCAACACCTTCTACTAGCATATCAATTTCGTTAGTCGGACAAAAACGAGGTCTTAGAAAGTTCGACGACGACGCATTTCTTGCCTCCGGAACTGCGGCTGTCAGTTTTCCTCTCGAGCGGGGCTCATTTGCCGAAGCATCGGGGAGACAGATCGGCTACAGGGTGGTAATGACCAGCGAGAATCAACAGGGCGTCGTGGGGACAATGAGTCGGTGATAGGAGAAGATGGTCGCTGGGAGTTCTGGGCAGCCTGGTAATTTGCAGAATTCCGATGGTCTGGAGGCTGGAAGTTGCGACGGCGACAGTAGCGTGCTATATTTCCTACGAAACCGCATGCGAAACAGATGGGTTGATTATCCAAGGTGCGCCATGGGTTAACTACAGAAGGTGCAGGGGGCGAAACGGGTTGGGTTGCCGTGTATGTAGGCAGCGTCGTAGGGTAGGAGAACCCGGTGCCCCGGTATGCGCCAGAGACATGTGGGGCTGGGGGTCTAGCAACGACGGCAGCGTAGGTCAGCGGCGTAGGGACAGATGGCGATGGAGGCAGTGCCTGCGTGACCTGTGTCTCAATGACTTGGCGTAGACGTGGGTCTAACGAGGTCACTGGCGCGGATGCTTCGGCCACAAGAGAAAGCTGACGCGCAACTCCTTCACGAATGAATTGTTTGATGTGTGGCAGTAAGACGGTGTGATCAGCAGCGACGTCGTGCACGAGGGCGTAAACTTCAGCCGTATCTTCAGTGGTCCTGGGCGTCGAGACACGCTGCTTACGCAACTCGTCGTACTCCTGACAGAGCTGAACAGCATCGGTGACGGTCTGTGGATTCCTAGCGACGAGCATCTGGAAGGTATCGTCGTGAACTCCTCTGATGATGTGCTTGATTTTGGCGCGTTCGGTTAGAGATTCATCGGCGCGCTTGCAAAGAGACAAGACATCTTCAATGTAACTTGTAAAGGTCTCGTCCCTGCGCTGGACTCGACTACGGAGACGCTGTTCCGCACGAAGCCGGCGCACGGCGGGACGACCGAAGACTGCGGCGATGGTGGTCATGAAGGCGGACCAGTTGGTGATTTCGCCTTTGTGGTTCTTGAACTAGAGGCTGGCCACATCAGCGAGGTAAAAGCGCACGTTTGTGAGCTGGTCGCAGGCGTTTCACTTGTTGGAAGCGCTTATGATTTCGTACTCGACGAGCCTGTCCTTGACGTCTTGTTCGTCGTTGCCGCGAAAAATTGGTGGGTCGCGTTGCCGAGGTACGCCAGTACAGTAGACTGTCGTTGGTAAGGCAGCTTGAGAAGGGCCAAGAGCAGTCATGGTGAATGGTGAGGGTAGCGTCCGATTTCGAAGTTCCAGGTTGATGGGAACCCCGGCTCCTCCACCACTTAAAATAGAGGTGTTGTACGTCGAGAAAGGTTCAGACGCAGCTTGGCAAAATGTGCTTTATCAGGCAGGTCTGGCTGATGGCGAGCGGCGTGTTGTTGTTGTTGTTGTTTCCCTGTAGAAATGGCTCGTACCCAAAGAAGGGGATTGGCCGATTTTAAGGTGAATTTGCCCTAAACTTTCAGCATCTACTACTGCAGCCACCGATCATCATCGTCTTCTTCATTACCAGCAGAGCGTCCGTTATTCAGATTCAATACAATAGTTGAAAATTCGAGAATCCTCAAGCTTCGCCCTTCGGAGTTGAACGTGATAGCGACATCCTGTTTCTATCGCGTATTTGCAACATTTGAAACATTCCAAGCCCCGGCATATTCTTTGCGGGAGAGCAGCAAAATACGCGTGAAATCGGTCAGCCACATATTCTTCATTATTCTAATACCTAGTATGATTGTTAAATGACTCATTTGGCAAACGTCGAGCTCTTATCGTAGCCATCCGTACAAAACCCCGGTGTCAAACTACACATGGTTGCTACCATTGCCGCCGCGCTCACCGGCTGAAGAAAAATTTGGAGGCTGTGACGCTTCAATGACCACGTGACTCGTCGTACTGAGCCTATTCCGCTTTTCAGACGAGAGCACTGCAAACTGCTCCTGGCTGCTCTCGGTGCAGCAAAAGCACTTTCGCTCTACCAATTGATGACAGTGCTCCTGCACCTGTTCGACCACTGCAACACGCCGGCTCTCAAGAGAGCACTCAAAAGTGTTCTTGAGCGCTCCTACTTTCCCAATGAATTCGCCATTAGACATTTCTTGTTCTGGCACCAGTACTCCTTACGGCATAAAGTAACCCCGTTGCCTTTGAGGTGTGGCAGTTCTGGCACCAGTACTCCTCAGGGCGTTAAACAATTCTGTTGCCTTTGAGGTGCGTCAGTGGTCTGAAATTCGCAGATGCGTTGGGAATGAACATCCATCGCCACTGTCGACAAGTAAAATGTTAGATTATGATACTGAGAGAGCGCGTGAGAAAACATTGCAGGCATTTAGTAAAATATGATGCATACCTAAGACAGCGAGCACGTCGGGCATAAAGCGAGAAGCACTGACAACCTACGTTGTCACTATAACCACAGGTTAGATTAAAAAGTAAACTTGGAGCGCAAAGAGGAAGAAGCACAGTGAGAAAAGACGTTGACAGTATACAAGTGGTCTCACATGACAGAAGCGTGCTCACAGTTAGTTGATAAACTTGAAATCCTTGTCTTGTAACGATGTTGACTTCCACAAAGTATGGCGTTCTTTTAGACGCGAAGCAGCTTATGGCAGATCTGTGTGCGTAAGCACCCTTATTGCGCATGCGCGCTCAACAGCTGGCCAGAACGCAATCATGTTTGCGAGTGACATATTCCAGAAAGCTATTAATTCGGCTAGTTTGCGACTGTTGCCCAGAGTAAACGTGGACGAGACATGTGGACTACGAATGGCGAGCATCCTCAACAAGTTTATTATAGCCTTGTGATAATCATATGATGGCTGGCTCTCATATGAAATCACAGAAGGTTAAAAGGTGAAAGAATAATGAGAAGTCATCAGAACAAATATTAGCTCATGGCCTCGTAAAGCGGATGAGTTCTTCGAGTTGAGTTTCTGGCCGAGTTAACTGCAACGAGCGGGGTGCTTCGCTACCTCTGATAATCGGTGACACCGCTCGCGTGTAAGCAACTTAGAGAATAAAATGTGTGTTTGGACTGAGGATGTGCTTGTCTGTATTTTTCAGGCTCGGGCCCTGGTGGCGGGAGCAGCGGCAGTGCGGGCCGTCCCCTGTCCAGCGCGTGGCACACGGCGCTTGGCGCCGCCGACGCCATGAACACGCTGAGCAGCCAGCACAGCGGCTGGGCGGCCAGCCGCTGCCTCGGCCGGCGGCACGGCAGGGGGCGCCTCTGGCGGCACCTCGTCACGCGAGCGCCGGAGGGCCCCACGCAAGGGCCCCAAGCTAGTCGAGAGGCCCCTGCGGGCACTCTTCTGCCTCGGACTGGGCAACCCATTGCGGAAGCTCTGCATCAGCGTGGTCGAGTGGAAGTATCCTTTTGTCTCTCTCGGGACACCGTCTGTAGTCGATGTGTAGCTTAATAGCATCCGAGCAGTTGATCTCCAGCATTTACAGCCACAAAAATTGTTTTATTCTGGTGTACGGCGAACACTGGATGCAGTGGAAATCGGGCTTAAGGTGTTTCAGCGCACCAGAGGAGGGCCCAACTTGCCTCCTGCAGTTTATCCACGTGTTTTTAGAATAATTACTCGGTCGTTATAAAGTATTTCTTAATGCTATAAATGTGTCAGAAAATCGTACCAGGTCACTACATCGAACGAAAACGTTATAAAAGTACACCACTGATGTGCTTAATGTGCCTATTTTTCATTACTACAGTCGTTTGGCACGAAAAAGCCAAGTCATAAATCGCCGTTATATGCAGATAGTGCCGAATAAAGAGACGTTTTATTGGGACTGCTTATCGATAATGATGGTCCGTATGAACTAAGCATGCGAAGATAAGAAGTACTTGGTTCAGTGATGCAGACGGAAGACAATATAACCGAAATTATACCTTCGATGGGCCTATTTTACGGAGACTGAAAGACACTAATATCGTGATGCAGGCGGCAAATACTATAATATCTGAGCCAACTGAAAAATCGGTCCGTTGGTCTGGGCAAACTATCAACGCTTGTCCATGCCTGGGCATCATGGGGTCCATATTGTATTGTAGTCATCTCATTAGGACTAATGCTTGATTCTTACGCGGTGGTGTCCGTATGGAGATGCGTTCGTAGCTTGCAAGTCTAGTGTGTGTGAGGTGCACTGATATTGCTTGTCACGTGGTAGTCCACACAAAACTGTTTGCTATTGTGCAGACTATCCGACCCCTACTAATATATTTGCAGCGTGGTCAAAATAGCGTGCGCTGATCCTACAAAGGCACTGGAGCTAGATGTTGGCTTCAACTGAAGAATCGAAGTACTAAGAAAACTTCGAGTAGAAGAAATAAAGGCACATCTGCAACATCACTGGCTCTAAGCAAAGTAAATGTTCTCTCATGGAGGGGCACACGTCACCCCTCTAGCGTGGCCTGAGTAGCAGCTGCGTTCCTTGTACATCCTTCAGAAATATATATTGTTGGTCTAGTTGGTTTACCACCATCATCATCATCAGTCTGACTACGTCCACTGCAGGACAAAGGCCTCTCCCAAGTTCCACCAGTCGACTCCGTCCAGTGCTTGCTGCTGTCATACCCACAAACTTCTTAATCTCATCTCACCACTGAACTTTCTGTCTCCCTCTAACCCACTCGCCTTTTCTGGGAATCCATATAGTTCCAAACAAATCTAGCACGAAAATAAAACACACACCGCGAAGAACAACAGCAAGACGTGGACGATCGCGCGTCATGGTTCTACTCTGTGTCTGTTCAATTTTCTGGCTATAATTATTTGCCGCTATCAAATCCCGAAAAAAAAACAGTGAGTGTGGCTGCCAGCAGTTTGAGGGCAGTGCATTTAGCCTGCACTTCGTTGTGTCCTCTTCTGAACGCATTTGGGTGGCAAGCCCCACATCTTCACCGGTGATGAAACCTTCGGACCACCAAAAGAGCATCAGGGGGTTTGCGCTCATTCAGGCCCCTGCGTTTTTTCACATTTTGCAAAATCTCACAGGTTCTAAATCGTATCTACGTCCAAGCGCCCTACTGGTGTCCCTCCCCGACCTCGTTCACAAAAGAAGCCAACTGACATGCGCGCAGCCGCTGTAAGACCATCGCGTCCACGGCTGCTTTTAAAACCTAGCTGGTGGAAAACGCATGGAAATGCTTTAGGACCACCGATACGGCTCCTTCTCTCCTATCAGCCGGCCCACTTTCACCGATCCTTCTGTTTGTTTGTTTGTTTGTATCCTCTAATCCATGGCTCATACTCACTTTGAGGGATCGGCCAAGAGAACATATAGTCTCATATGGACGATAACTGCATTATTGCTTACTACGAAAAAAAAGGGGGGGGGGTTGTATAGTGAAGACAGTATGTTAAAAAAAGAAAGAAACCAAAGATTTAGATAGTGAGAAAAAAGAATAAACAACAAAGTAGACACTAATAGCTACAACTTGATTTTGGGAGCCGACCAGACAGCTGGTTTTGCCAAACCCGATTAATTTGGTATGTCACGGATTATTCTGAATTGAAACTTACTTTCCGACCCGGTTTTTTTTTTAGTATCTGTTAACGTGGGCTTAATGTTGAAAAACGTTTAGAGTCTTGAATAAAATGATCCTTCTGAACAACATGCTTCCTTTTCGTCTGTTTCGATAAGGAGCATCTTGATAAAGCTAATGACAACTACTGTGACCTAAACAATTTGCTACCGAAAAAGATGACTTTGTCTCTGTTCTAAACGAGTCGGATATTCAGCGCAGCAAGTACTGGCAAGTTTCTGTGAGCCGGTGTGACCAAATTTAGTAAATCGCTTTAAAATCTGAGACTTGTTCTTTACTATCAGTGCTGAAATTTAGAAGCAGAATTGAAGAGTGTTCAACTTCTGCACTGCTTTGATTACACAACGAAACTCATAGGGCCGAAACTAATGACATTATAGTAATCAAGGATTAACACTCCAGTCAGAAGCTGATTTCCTCTTAAGCCACGATGATGCCATGCCATGGTATGATTTCTATGTTTGGCCAGGATTCTTGCCTTGTCGCCTAGAAGACCTCGACTCATACCCGGGGGATTGGCCACACTGTACCTTAGAATGCAAATTTTTTATACAATGATTGCCATGCTCCGAGTAGTGCTGTGTCCCTGTATTTATCCTTGACTGCGCCTTTCTCTCTTTCCTCTTGCAGGCCCTTTGAATATCTAATTCTGTTAACAATTTTCGCCAACTGTGTGGCTTTAGCTGTTTACACTCCCTACCCCAACAGTGATTCCAACCAAGTGAATGCCACTCTGGTAAGTTATAATTACAGCTGGTGCTTTAATATATTTTTTTTTCTATCCTTCAGCTGGATTTTTCAGTCATTCGCTCTACTCTGAAATCTAGCATTTCCCAGATTGATCAATTTTATTTTACTAATTTCTTGTAAATATGTTCAATGATGTGTTGTTTTGCTCACCAAGGCCAGGATAACACTTTGAGGTACGCCATCGTGCAAGGCTCCGAAAATTTTGACTATGTGATGTTCTTTAACGCATTGCGGTGGATGTGTTTAAATGGTGACGTTTCGGTTTTCTTAGAGTATTGTATTGCGTGCTTCATAACCATTTTGTCTTGGATATTTCGTGAACATTTTAAGGGACAAGGCAGAATGTACTCGCCGGTGCAGATGTTCCCAACTCGCTACAAGTTCGTGGAACAACGTTCCGGCCAGGGAGTGTCAACTTGTGTAAACACCAACGTATTGCCAGTGAAGCTTTTGCACACAGTCGATAACGAGTTGCGGCAACTAACGCGCCATGTACTGTGAACTCAACGACGATAGCTTATGCACCGATCACGCTCAAGTTTATAATCTCCTTGCAGAGATGTACTTTTGAATTTTAAAGAACAGTTGGCTGCTTTCCAACCGTAGACTAGATCACACTCTAACACTTAGACAGCTGTTTCTAAACACTCGTAGCTATTTGCGTGCGCCAGCTGGTGACAGTGCTTTTCTGCTGTCCCGAATGGTAGATTTTCTTAAAAACAAAATGACTCGTCTATTGAGATATAGGCTGTCGAGGCTCTCCACTACGGTATCCTTCGAAATCATATTATAGTTTTACATATGAAAACCCCCAAGGTAATATTGTGTGCCGCGTACCTCAAGTATTGGCTAGCATGCCTTCTTGCATTTTGATGAAGGGGACATTATAGAGGGGCACAAGAGATCGACGCGGGCTGAAAAGTTGATAGTTTAGATTTGATTGTTTATTTTATATTATGTGCACACACCACTCAGTAGCCTGAAAGTGAACTTCTTTTTTTTTATTAACAGCTTAAATTAGGAGGAAAAAATATTGCACCTATTTTGTACAGAGGGACCGATTTCGTCCCTTGTCATTTTCAAAAGTTGATGACGATATAAAAACACAAATATTAGCTTGATGAAGACAATTTTTTCTTCTAGTAAATGCACGCGTAATGAAGAGTGAAGCAGCATTGTTTTGAGCTTGTGTATGCTGAAGCAAAATCTTCCTGAAAGATGTACGAACAGGTGACATATTTCAAAAGTTGCTTGGTTCGAGATTTTTTCCTCCTAAGCCAAATCAGCTAGTGTTTGATAACTTGGTTACCTATTATAGTGTAATTTTTACAATATTGCCTGTCGTTACCGTTTCTGTACTTCAAACAGATAATTTTAAAAATGGCCTCAAACTTTCTTATACGTCGACAGTAAACCCTATTGAAAAATCAATATATAAAATATCCCATTTTTCATATTTCTTAAAATCTCCAAAAACTTTCATCACAGATAATATAAAAAAATATTTAAAACATATTGCACTGTTTTGTTTGCGGCGACAATAATACGGGTGGAAGTTTCAGCTTTTCGAGCATGCACTTGGGCGATAAACGCATGAGAAATCGGGCTAAAAGAGTGGGCTTGAGCTCCTGAGTCGTTTGAACAGGACCATATATACAGAGTAAAAGCAGATTTGGTAAACGGGAAGGACCGTTTTAAGCTCGCCCTTCTGAAATACCTTAATTTGCCATTTCAAGCCGAGGTTCCTAGCACCTCAGTTGCTCACCTCGGTTAGATGACGCAGCTATTGCAGTCATCTGCTTTTAACGTATTGGTTCACTACACTTACATGGGAATAGGCTCGTGAGAGGAACCATCGAAGCATAATGAATAGTGAGATTTAGTAACGCTGCTGCCACCTGAACGCGCTTTAACGTTTCCTTCCCCTGTCGCCTGCTCAACAATTCATGCGCGCGCCCCCTCTTGCAGGCAATCTATGATATCATAGGATTTCAGCTGTAGGAAACGGTAATAAGTCTGCAATTTCAACAAAACATAATTTAGTAAAGCTCAGCAAAGCACAAAACTCACCCTCCCACCTAAGCTCGGAAGGGATTAAGCCGGCAACTGGATGGTGTAAAGAACGTATGTCTGGAGAATGTAAGAATGCTCTATGCAAATGGAGATTGCCTGGAGACCATTCATTACTTCAAGATTGTTTTAGTGCACATTTTCACGACGTGTTGCAGGCCTATGTTTTCGGTGCGTTTGGTTAGCCTCACGTAACGATGCAAATTATGGCCGTGTTTTGTTAGCGTCAAGCACAGCTGTAAGTCATCTGGAAAATATGCAGCGTTTTGAGCACACCATGTTTTTGTTCAATGCATTCCTCAGCTTGAGAGGGAATAGGGAAGAGAGTCATTCCAAGTGTTCATGTACTATCTTCCGTAGTGTAACGGCATTCTGCATGCTGGTGTAAGAGCAGTTTAATTTATCGCGTTGTCTACAAATATGTACGGATCGCCTTATAGTATGTCATTATGTATTGCTCATCCTGGCATTAAAGCTGAGCGAATAGGACCAGAAATGCGCCTTTGTAGATGTTTATTTCTCTGTGTGCTAAATCTGATTCTCCTCTGTAAGTCCGGTTCAAACGACTCAGAAGCTCAAGCCCACTTTTTTTTATCGCCTAAGTGCATGCTCGAAAAGCCGGAACATCCACCCGTAATATTGTTGCTGCAAACAAAATAATGCAATATGTTTTTAATATTTTTTTTCTATCATCTGTGTGGATCGCTTTACCAAATTTTAAGAAAAATCAAAGATGGGATTTTTCGAATATGCATTTTTCGATAGATTTTATTGTCGACGAATTTGAAAGTTTGAGACCATTTATAGAATTATGTGTTTAAGACACAGCAATGGTATTGACAGGCAATAGTGTAAACATTATGTTGTAATAGGTGGCCAAAGTATTTAACACTAGCTGATTGAGCTCAGGAGAAAAAAAAATCGCAAACCAAACAACTTTTACAAATTTCACCTGTCCAGACATCTTTCAGAAACATTTTGCTTCAGCATACAAGCTTCAAACAATGCTACTTCACTCCTCATTACGCGTGCATTCATTAGAAGAAAAAAAAACGTCATTCATCAAGCTAACATTCGTGTTTTTATATTGTCGTCACCGTCAACTTTAGAAAATGACGAGGGCGAAATTGGTCCGTCTGTAGAAAATAAGTGCAATATTTTTTTCCTCCTAAATTATGCAGTCAATAAAAAACAAAGTTCACTTTCAGGCTACTTGGTGAGAATATAAGAAGCAAAGTATAAATAAACCAAATATGAACGAAAATAAACAAAATATAAAACAAACAAATCTAAATTATCATTGTTTTGACCCGTGTCGATCTCTCGTGAAATCACCTGGAGGCCAGTGTACTGTGCGATATCCCTGCATGTTAGAGAACACCTGATAGCCTTCAAAAAAGATGCTCACAGGAAGACACATATGCAAGCACACATAAACCAAAGCAAATACAAGCGCTGTACAGCAAGATACCAATGCTTGTGTTCGAAATATTTTATATTTGCTTGTTTTTGTGTCCTTTCGTGTGCTGCTGCTTCAAAAATGAGAATCATGGCTCACTGAGTAGCCCATCAGTACATCAAAGGAGTGGCTACTTGGGCTGGCTAGTATTGCAGTTTTTAAAGAAATATACTTTCTTAGTGCACAGAGAACGTCAAAAATATACTTTCTTTGTGCGCAGAGAACGTTTAAGAAGGAAGACAGGACAGAGTGCACTGTCTGTCTGTCTGTCTGTCTGTCTGTCTGTCTGTCTGTCTGTCTGTCTGTCTGTCTGTCTGTCTGTCTGTCTGTCTGAAATGGTCTCTGCGCAGCAAGAAAGCATATTTCTTTAAAAATTTAGTAAATACTGAGTAAATGCTCAAAATTGTCGAGCCCTCCACTACGGCATCCCTCATACTGTGATTTCGGGACGTAAGACGCCAGATATTATTAATATAAGACCTATTTTACAGCGAAAGCTGTTATGAGATCACAACTCGCGTCACGCACAGTTGTCTACCACCACCACCGCTGGTGTGCGTAACCACATCGCGTGAAATTAGAAAAAAGAAACTTACACAAATGACACAGTGCGGCTCAAACTCGGGTCCGCTGGGTGCCAGCCCAGCATTCTACCACTGAGTTATGCCAATGATTGGGACCTGTTGGCGAATTTCCCTTAGGCAGGCTTGATGTTGGGAAAGCAATCGTGTTATTACCACTTATAAAGTGTTTTAGGACAGCGGAAGAACAACCAGTCGTCGAACAATGCGTTGAGCGTAACGAGTGGGTATTCCATCTCCCCCCCCCTCCATTACAAACGCTTGTTCTTGTTCCCTTATTAACTGTGGCCCATACTCATGTCAGCCACAATTCGTCATCGTCAGCCACTGCATAAAGAATTGGCACAAAATTCCTTGCAAGTGTTAAGCGGATACAACGCTTCTTAGAAGAATAACGAAAAATAGCATAGCAAATGTCGGCCTACAACCCAAAAATTTATTATAATGCCTTAGGAGGTATCAAGCAAGTGTGGTTGCAGTAGTTACCCAATGAGTGTTTCAAAAAATGCTCTGAAAGACCGCTCTTCTCCCCGCAGGGGCGCCTGCGCAAGTAGCGTTTGGTGTGTAGCGACACCACGGACCCGAGCTAACGGGGGAGTTTCTACTCCCTCCCACGCCTAGCCGTGCGTGGCTTTGCCGTGTCCGGGGAAAAGGGGATCCTGGGGGTTGAGCCGACGCTGGGTGATTGGACCTTGAAGGCCCCCCGGCAGAGGCAACACACCCCTTTGGCCCCGGCTTCACATAGACGGCACCCCTGGGCTGACCCACCCAGGGGAAATCGGCAGTCGCCTTTTCCTATCTCTCTCTCCCTACATCTTCGTCTTTTGTTCTCACTTTACATCTTTCCTGTCTTCTCCTCACTTCATTTTACTTCCA